ATCGGGTAACTGTGAGCATGCTTTGTGTTATTAACGGACCCTCCTCGCTATGTGGAGTGCTTGCATGCTTAATTATTGTTTATTTGAAGAATGTTGGGCCTTAGTTTAGGTTTGACTAGGGCTTGCCTTAGAAATACATTATTCGGATCCAATAGGCCTTAGTTTTGCCCCGACGTCGCTCGACCGACTTAGATCCCTGTAGACTGGTGTAGCAGACTTGAGTCTGATAGATTGGGCCTTAGTTAGGTGATACGCTTGCTCCGACTTTAGTTATCCTTATTTTCCCCGATGTTACGGCTTCACGAGTTACGTCGGCGACACTAGTTCTACTTCGCGATTTGAATTTGATTTTTGATTTGGTTCCAAGGACTTACATTGATTGGCTAAGTATGGATGGCAATGCCATTCCTACATTGCACAAGTATACCTTAGGGTTACTTAGATGATGATTCTAATGTGCTACAATGACTTACATGATGAATATGCTTATATCTTATGTGTTTATACTAAAGATGCATGATAATTCTCAAACTTGTTAAATGCATGATTTTCAACCAAAGTGTCCTTTTTAGCATGATTTTTGCAAGGCTATCATACTTAGTACATATTTGTGCTAACCCATATTTCTTCTACATTTTTACAAAGTGTAGGTTCCGGATCTTGAGGTGATTTCTTTGGAATAAAGCTTAGATTGACTTTTCTCTAAGCTAGTGGCGAGTCCTCAAGATTCGAGGACATATGAGAGTCTTTAGTAGTTTCTTTCATGTCATTTTATGTTTCAGACTATGTTGAAGGGTTGTGACCCTATTATTGATTTAAAGTTGTATTAGATGGTCATGTGAGACAAAGTTAGACTTCCACTGTTTTTGAATAAAGACTTCAATTGTATGGATAAATGTTTTAAGTTCCGTACCATTTTCTTATGGCTTATGTTATGAATGCTATGAGTCTTGTATGAGGCTCTTTGGAGTCTTGTACGTCGTGTCACGTCCGGAGTGTAGGCTCGGATCGTGACATCGAATTAGCCTTAGAAACTTTATTGAATCTGAGTCTTCCCCTTGTTATGAATTCTGACTTGGTCTTGACGGTTGAGATTGATGGAAATTGGTTGAAATTCGCTCTTGATCACCCCTGCTCTTCCCAAAACATGTTGGAAAAATAATGAGCAGTTGTGGGGAATTTCTGCGTAAAATCGTGACTAAACGCGCTATAGCGGCACCGCCATAGCAGGATCACTCACTTTACCAAGAATTTATCCCTTCCGGTATAGTGGCATGACACCCGCTATAACGACTTGCACATGATAGAAACTTGAAAATTCTCCCAACAGTCCCTATTTTGCAATGCACCTTCGAATCTTGGCGTTCTAAACTAGCCCCTCCACGCCAAGTTCAATATCGGGAGTTCTACCCATCCAAATTTAATTCTAAAATCCCTACAGACTCCTTAATGTCTTAGTTGATAAAAAAGACTAACACAAGACATTACCTTGCTCATATTTCGTCTGAGACAAACTTATCCTATAATTTTCAACTCGTTATTCCAAAAGTTTTCTCACCCAATATCTTCCACTATTGGTTTATCCATCACAATCGGATGGTCTTTAAAGATTTTGAGTTGATCGAGATTGAATAGTCAGTGAATACTTTATGTATATTCAATATATACTTCATATATAATTAGGCTATATTCAACTTTATGAGTCTATCATAATGTATTATAGTCAGTGTACAACTCATGTATATGTTAGTGTATATTTTCTATGACTTTTGATAACATATATTGTATATTTCTTATGACTTTTGGCTATTTTTATGTAAATAAAATATGGCTAGATTGCTCTCAACTAATTAATTTAGGGGGAACTTATCAAAATTCCATTAGCTTAGGAGCTAATTACTTAGATACACTCTAGTTTGCAATATTATGAATCTTATCAAATTTTGGTGCGTCAAGATACGTTCAGATACATGTATCTATGGATGTATGAGGTCAAAATTAAGTGTAATTTGTTCTAAATACAGTATTTCTAAATGAATTCACATGTATCTAGAATACTTCGATAAATCTCAAGAGCGGACAATACGATTACTGAGGGTGAGAAGTCTCACATTCTCGATTCGTTCAAAAGGCATAAAGGAATAGGCTAGAAGTCTCACTACTAGCTTTTAGTCTTAAGCAGGCAACGGCTTGCCTCCCTCCCATCTCACTCGTCACTCTCTTATGTATCTGGAATCTTATGTATCTGGTATTCCAGATAAATACAAATACATGTATCTAGAGTGGTTCTTATGTATCGGGGATACATTGCTATCTCTCTCCCTATCTCATTCACCTCCCTCCTTATTTTAGTATATTTAGTTGTAAAAATACATATATCTTGGTGTATCTTATATTTTATATATATATTGGCTCCCATATCTATTAGCTTGAGCCTTTTGGGCTCTTATACATGTATTTGAGCACATGTATAAGGTTAGTAATGTCAAATTCACCTATATACATATATGTAACTCTAACAGCCAACTCAGTCAATAACTAATATGGCTATGAGCACTATAGTGATAAAGAACAAGTCATATTACTATGCGATAAAGAAACTTTCCAAAAAAGATTTTGCCTTAACATACCTTTTTCATAGAATTACACCATAATATTACTTCTTCCCGCACCCCTACAATAATACAACATGGAGTAATATCAATTAAAAATAAGGATAAGAATTATTCTGATAATCCAACAATCGATATGGATTTCCACCGAAAAATACTACATGTAAAGTAGCTATAGAACAATAAAACAAGGTTCTTACCTCCATATACACCCTCATAACAACACCATGAACACCCTACAGAGCCAACACTCCGCTGCCACAACACCCCTAAAGATATACCATAAAATTCATGGAGACAATTATATCAAAACGATGAGCTCGTGACATAGCGCAATTTTCATTAAAGACTCAAGCTAAGATCATAAGCATATAAGGTTGATTTGGGGTGTTATACTTTTTTTTTTTTGGGTGTCAACAAAAGATAATGAGTAACGAGTGAAGAATACGACATATATAATTGCAACCGACCTAAGGGGCCCACTACCATCTCTATTGTGCATACATCATGAAAATGTGAATATCTCTCTGTTCTGAAGTCGAATGAATGAACATTTTATTTAATGAGTAGAAAAATAGATTCGTAGATCTTCAATTTGATAGGTTGTGAATCCTCGAACTCTTTATATATTATAGGATAAAAACTCCAAGACATTTGACCTAAATTATTAAAAGTTTTACACAAATAACTTGCTATAATTTTACCGACTTTTATTTTACAACTTGCATGACTTCAAATCATAACATGCGAATCATTGTGATTTGAACACATCATAACATATCTTTCTTATGGTACTAGGTGCTATTGGCAATAACTCGAAGTACGAATTTATTGATTAGATTATACGAGGCGTGACAATTGATTTATTGCAATGTTTAAAATTTAAAGAATACACCAAAAAAAATTGATCTTTTTTTACCAAGACACAACAATAGATTTTACATACTGCAAAAAAGTTTGACCATTTGAGAGACTTTAAAATATTCAATAATAAGATAATAAAAATAGTGAAAGGGAAATAAAAAAGGTAAACATAAAATATTTATGTAGGTTCATGATAATCCTCGGAGTATAAATGAGTCAACCAAAAATAGGTTGCCACTTAAGAAAGAATGCTACAATTAACTAAATACAACTTCTATTTCTCAATTATTATAGCAACCCCACATTTAATAAGGTAAGAAGTTATTATAGCAACCCACCTTTCTCAATTATTATAGCAATCTAGCTGGACCCTTATATATCTTTAAAATACACTATTAAATAGCGTAGGGTAATAGGTTATGCCTAATGGGATTGTTATAACAATTTGGTCAAAGTTTGGATATATTTCAGACTTTTTTTCCTATTTTTTACTCAAAAAATTATTTTCAAATTTATCAAAACATGAGATTTTTGTAATTAACTATATAATATATCTTTAGAAAAAAGTAGGGGGCCTCAAACATTCCTTTAGTGACCTTTAGATCGAGCCAGTCTTGATTTCACATAATTTAAAAATATTTTTTACCGGGATAAATATAGTTCTAAAGTAGGAGTGTAGGAGTATTTTGTTAAAAAGTAAAATAGTTAATAGTTAAAATCCTCCTTAAATTTGACATATTTTATCAAATGCACATCTATGAGAAATCTTAATTATCCCCTTATATATGGATTTTAAAAACTATTTAGCTGCGTAAATTATGAGAAGTCTTAGTTACCCCTCAAGCATGGATTTTTAGAACTATTTACCTCTTTAATATGCCACACGACACAAAATAATTACTTCATCTCAATTTATATGACCACTTTCTCTTTAAGTCAATCCCAATAGAAATGACACATTTTTATATTTAGAACTAAAAATTTAACTTTCAAATTTCTATTTTATTCATAATGGAATAATTTATAGTCACACATATATTTATGACTTACCACATCCTTTACTTAAACTTCATGCTAAGTCAAACTATATATATCATATAAATAGGAATAAAGATTAATTTTTTACTAAATATAAACATTTGCATTCATTTTGAGATTAAATAAAAAAAAAATGAGTCATATAAATTAAACAGAGTAATGTTTTTGTGATATGTGACATATTAAAGATAAATAGTTTAAAAAATTTATATTTGAAAAAAAGATGATTAAGACATAGGTGTGCATTTAATAAAGTGTGACTTTTCTCTATTTTCAAACCAAACAGAGAAAAAAAATAAAATTCCTCCACTTCTTATCTTCTCAAACAAGCTTCTCAATGGCTTTCCCTCCAAGATTTCATCATTTTCATTTCCCTCCGAAATTCAAAAAAATCGAATTCGAAACTTTCATGGCACATATTATATTCCTATATAATCCTATCCATATTCTCAAATCTTTACAACAATTCATAATCCTTTCCCACTTCCTTTTTCTCTTTTTCTTTTCAATAATGGCTTTTTCATCATCTGCTAGATGCCCAATTGACCCGAGAAATGGATCGAAGAACAGTTTTTGTCCGGCGGGTGAAATCCATGTTATTGTTGGTCCTATGTTTGCTGGAAAAACCACTGCTCTTCTTCGCCGGGTCAATTTGGAATCCAACGATGGGAGGTATTACTACTAGTATTGTTCTTGTTGATTTGTTTTGTGCGATTTTTTTTCGATAATTGTAGTTCAATTGGCATGAATCGGTGATAAATAAGATTTAGAAATTTCAAAATTAGGTTGAAAAATGTTGGAACTTGTGATTTGTATGTATGTGTATAGTAGATGAAAATATGTATGTGTGCTGTTTCGTTTATGGTGAATTAAGCAGAAAAGAAACTGAAAAATATGAATTTGTTGAGTTTAAAGAATAGATCGAACTTTTGAAACAAGATTCTTTGCTATATGACTGAGAAGTATCTGGGATTTAGTTGATTTGAGGTTGATCAATATTAAAAAAAAAATTGGGTTAGGGGAAGGAGAAATGGGGCGAGGTATTACAAGTTGGAGAATCAAACTCACACTAATAAGATGAAAATTTAGATGGTCAATTGAGCTATTAAAATTTCCTAGATGATCAATATCTAGGGTTGGTTTGTTAGAAATTTTTGTGGTGAATTATTCCCTTTTAAACTGTAAGTTTGAGTTTTTAATTGTGTAAGCAGAAATGTGGTGATGATAAAGTCAAGTAAAGATACAAGATATGCTGTAGATGCAGTGGTGACACATGATGGGACAAAATTTCCATGTTGGTCATTGCCGGATCTTTCATCTTTCAAACAGAGATTTGGAGAAGATGCATATGAAAAGGTACAAATCCTGTTTATTACTTCACCACTCAACAAACTCTTATGTTTGACTTGTTAAGACTTTGTGTGTATTGTTGAGAACTTCTAGATTGTTGATGGGTGTGCGTTGGATTCTTCAAAAGTAGTTTATTTTTGAAGGATTTGACGTGGGTGCGATGTCATTTTTGGAGAGTCTGAGCAACATAGCCTAAAAGCATCGATCTTTGTACAATTCAGAGCTTTGAGTATTTTAGTGTTGAACTTGGATGATTGATGATTGCGTGATGTGATAATTCAATTGACTTGAGTGCTTACAGTATATTACTAGTATTGTACTGATATTTATGCCACTAATTGGTGAAAATGATCAACCTTTACCACACATTGTTGGGGTAGTATTAACATTAGAATTGAACACCAACTTCATATTTTGATGGGAATTAGATATATCTTGTGTCTCTTCACTTGCACCTAGTTAACTAATAGATTTAAGACTTGATGGGTTTGTGAAATCTTCTTATGAGTGCAAGATTGTTAAAATTAGAGAACACAATGCCAAAAGCAGCTGTAGTATCAAGATGGTCTCTTTCCTGTCCAAACCATGAGAATTTGAGGGGTGTTTTGGAAAGTATCATCTTGCACAGTATGGAGAATGAATGCTAATGCTGTTGCTATTAAGTCATTGTTATCTATACTGCAAATATGGGATATATGTGAATTGTTTAGAAGGCAGAAACGAGGGCCAGATGCTGTAAACATAAAATATGATGAGTAGACAAGATATAAGGGAAACTTGAAACACAATTGAGGGTCAAACTAAAGACAGCAGTAGTCAGAAAAGAACTCAGTAGGCAAAATGAATCATGCAATTCTCCTTAACTTTAGTTAGCACTATTGGCTGTTAGTGTGTATTCCCTTATCCTAGTAACTCCATTTCTTGATAGGTGGATGTGATCGGCATTGATGAAGCTCAGTTCTTTGGGGACCTTTATGAGTTCTGCTGCAATGCTGCTGATCTTGATGGGAAAACTGTAATTGTTGCAGGCCTAGATGGTGATTACTTGAGGTACTCCTGAAAACTATTTTCAAACTAGGTTCCGAACTCACCAATAACTTTACTTCAAACCAATAACTGTGCTCTTACATGGTATCTGGTGATTGCTTGGTTGCAGGAAGAGTTTTGGTTCAGTGCTTGACATAATTCCACTTGCTGATACTGTAACAAAGTTGACTGCTAGATGTGAGCTGTGTAACAGAAGGGCATTTTTCACCTTTAGAAAGACTAATGAGACAGAAACTGAGCTTATAGGAGGTGCTGATATGTACATGCCTGTTTGCCGTCAGCACTATGTTAATGGACAATCTGTCAATGAATCTGCAAAAATGGTTCTTGAATCTCATAAAGTGTCAAGTGACCTTATTTTAGAATCTGCACTAGTTGCTCCATAATACACTTGTGTTCAACGCTTTTATATTATCATGTATCTTAATTACCCAAGTATGTAAGTAAATGAACTTGTTTTGCTGAATTCTGATAAATATATATATAGCCTGTCATCCTAGACATACACGAAAATGATCTTGTTTAATGTTGAATGAATTTGTAGTTCCTTTTGCAGATTTTTACTCTTTTAAGTTTAAGCCAGTTTGGCTTTTTTTGGAGGCCAATTTTACTTTTATATAAAAGTAAGGTGTTTGATCAAACTTTTAGAAGAAAATAAGTGTTTTTGACATAAGCTAAAAAAAAGAGAGTTTTTGCTCAAAAATACTTTATGAAAAGTACCTTTGAAAAAACTTGGTCAAACAATAATTGTCCGATTGATTCGATTGATCACACCAAAATTTGTAGCGGAGCTTGAGTCCAAAGTAGGCATATTTATTGTTTTTTTTTTAGTTGTGAGACATAAAATGTATATTTGAGGACAACAATTCTAGGAACTATAGACAACTTTTCAGAGAAGTACCAATACTTTTTTTTTTGACAAAGTTCACTCTTGTCATTCTTTTATTTGCACAAAAATGTGGAATCACCATTTGCACACAAGTTTTGTTTGAACTTGTGAGGAACTGAATTTTAATTTCAAACTACCAAGGTTAGGATGTCTTTTATTTCATCATTAATCTTGATGATTTTAGTCAATTCAATTGTTTGGGATTAAAACATACTAATTATTATTGTCATTAGCATTTGTGTTTCAGCCACAAAAACAATTGCAATTGAAAAATTCTCTTGTAATTGAAAAAAGTGAGCACATATACTAAAAGAACAATAGGCAAGATAAAGTACGTAAATGAAATAACAATATAAGTGTGAGAGAGAGAGCCCATAGAATTTGAATACTATTAAGACTTGAGTTGGTTTGAATTGACTTATTCTAAACTCTTTTAAAAGTAAATTTTCTAGTGTTAGGTAAAATAAAAAAAATACTAATAAACACTTGTTTTAGAGTCAAACATAACAAAAATAAGTTAAAAGTTAATCCAATCATGCTCAAATCATATATTTGAGCAATTTAATTCATTAAGAGATTTTATAAGATTTGAACATCAGATCTCATTAAGTACAAACAAATAAGTTTTAAGTAGGTATTTAAACCTAACAAATGTGATATTCAAATGTATGGAATCAAGAATGATTTTTTATTTATTTTATACCTTATGAGATTCACAAATCACGACTGTCCAATATTACAATTAATTGATAATTGATGAATATGCACTCCAACAATGAATGGTTAAGATTTAAAATATTAATCAAATGGATAATTGGCTCTTCCACTTTGATAAATATTTTATTTTATTGTACTATCTATATTTATTTGTCGTAAAAAATAATGAAATAAAATTAAGGAAAAAAAAACAACTCTTATTTCTCTTTTCCATTTCTCATTTTTGTCTCTCTTTTGCACAATCGGTTGGTCGCATCTGCATATGAAATTCCAGATTAGCCCTCAACCATGCCGGCTTCAGCATCATCGGCGCCGCCCCCTCCGACTCATAGCCGTCGTGAGGATCTGATCGGACGGTTGAGCTCTTCCTCCACCGAAGCAAAACTCAAAGCTCTCCGTGACCTTAAGAATCAGATCATCGGTAACCGTACGAAAAAGCTTTGTTTCCTCAAACTTGGCGCCGTTCCGTCTGTTACCTCCATACTCTCTTCCTCCTCCGCCACCGCGGCCGCTTCTGCAGCTGGTTCTGTTTGTTCCGGTAATGACGTGGAACTCAACGATTCGCTAATTCTTCAATCCGCTGCTGCTATTGGTAGCTTCGCTTGTGGCTTTGATGATGGTGTTAAAGCCGTCCTTGATGCCGGTGCATTTCCTCTTCTTCTTCGCCTTATTTCTTATCCTAATGATAAGGTAATTTCAAATTTTGACATCTTTTGTTTTGGCTCCATTATAATGAATGTCTAAATTAATTAAAAATTTTTACTTGCTTAATTTCTTCTGTTTGTCTGCTATCTCTGTACCCAGAATAGGTCAGAAAAGGTTGTTTTAGTGTAGTTATTAGTTTGTAGTACGGGTTAAATCCTAATTTCAAATTTTCAAGAATTTTGTTTTGGTGTTTACATATAATTTAAAGCAAATTATACTGGGCAAAAAGTTTCAAGTTACTTGATTAACTTATATATATTATGTTAGTGCTGGTGGAAGAAAAATACTGAAGTAATGTTTGAAAGTTAGTTTGATAGGGAAAAACATTACATCCAAATTTACAAATTGGAACGGAAGAGGATTACTGTGTAACAATCTTTGTTTCTGGTTTGCTTATTTCATCCATTTTCTCAACTTGCTAAATCCTTAAAACAAGTAAAATATCCGTTAGGGTGAAACTAGTGAATCGTAGTAACATACTTTTTTTTTTTTTTTTGAGAAGGTAACGATTTGTATTATAAACCAGTACTTATGTAGTACTGAAAGCCCCTTTACAAAAACGTATGAAAATCTAGGAACAAAAACAGCAAGCCTAGCATGATTCTAATACTTCTAGGATTGCTTCTGCAGCTACAGGGGAACTCTTTGTACACCAAAAACATAATAACAGAATACAATCTGTTTTGATCATTTGTAGGGATCTGCTTCTATCCTCAAAGCTTCTAGCATTCCTTTCTCTCCAAATGGTCCACCAGATGCATGCTGGAATTGTCCTCCAATAACTTCTGTTCTTTGCCTCAATTCCTGCTTCCTCCCAACTTGAGAGAGTGTCAACAATCTTGCTAGGCATTGTCCATTGAATGCCTCTGAGATTGATGAAAATCTTCCACAATTGATCAGTGATTTTGCAATGTAAGAACAAATGCCTAACTGTCTCAGCTGCCTCCCCACATAAACAACAACGTGTCACCAGAATGTTGTTTCGTTTCCTCAGATTCTCATGTGTTAGTACTGCCTCCTTTGCTAGCAGCCAAGTGAAGCATGCCACCTTGAGTGGAATTTTGGTTTTTCAGATTTGTCTCCAAGGCCAATTGAGGGTTAGAGGAGCCCTGTTCATGACCTTGTAACCTGAGCTCACTTTGTATCTTCCTTTGTTGTGCTCTGTCCACCATAGGCAGTCCTCCCCTTCCTTCAAACCTTGAAATGATTCCAACCTTTTAAAGAATTCAACTAATCTACAAACTTCCCAGTCATTTAAATTCCTTCTGAGAGATAGATCCCAACCTTGGGGAGACCACATTTCAGCCACTGTTCTGTTTTTTGAAACTGAAATTTGGCGTTGGGGATGGTGGGGGAATCAAACTCTCACCAACAAGGTGAAAGTTCAGATAGCCAACCAACCAACTGAGCTACTAACACTCCCCTAGTAACAGGCTTGCGTCTTAATTTGATGATTTTGGGCTCCCTTTAGTCCTTGAAATGTGTTGGTAAAAATCCGAGTTTTATAAATGATTATTTGCTGAATACATGTGCGGCCCCTTAAATTTGTCCAATTTTTTTTTTCCGTTTAGGCACTCAAACTTAGCCTTGTTCAATTGAACAGCTGAACTCAAGTCTATTTGTGTAAATTAGACATGATGTGCTGATGAAGAGTGTTCACTGCCCACCCTTAGCGCGTTAAGCCTTGAGAATGGCTAATTCCCTTTTTTACTTTCCTTTTTATGGTTTCTTTCAAATTTCTCCTTCTTCCCCACTCTTTCCTGCCACTACCTCCGCTATTTTCCACCACCATCCACCTCCTCCTCCCACCACCCTTCCCTCTTCCCTGTCTATTAGTATCTTTCGCCAAAAAAACTTCCTTCCTTGACAAACCCATTTTTTTTTCATGTTCAGATTCAAACCTCACGGTTGTTGGTAAAATAACCTCTAGGAAAAAATGGCAACCCAAATCTGATTCCCGTCTCGAAACTATATAACCTTTTCCGTTTTAAAAGACAAAAAGTTGGGTGCTAAGCTTGGTTAGGGTCCAAGATAGATTTTGTCCCAGAGAAGGTAAAAATTATGAAATTTAATGATATTTGGACCCGTTTTCCTGGAACATTAATCACAGCTGTGTTATATGGCAAATTTGAGGAATAGTGTCTTGTTCATGTCTTGCATTAGAGAGATCAGGACTTCTAAAAGTTTAGTGACTAGAGCAGTGCCAGAGAGTAGAACTGAATTAGAAGAAGACTCCTTCTAAATCAAATTTGAGTTGCTGGAAAAAGATTATGTTGCCAGAAAATTTATGGTGAGTAAACCAGATCCAACATCGACTCTTTATTTTAACGCTTGTCAGCAAAGAGAGAGATTGTGGGAAGAACAATAAACAGTATTGTTGAAGAAGAAAAAGAAGAAAAAAAACAAGGAAGAAGAAGGAAAAATGTGCACTTACTTTGTCTTGTCTCTCTTTTCCTTTATTTATTTATCGTTTTTTAATTTATTTTTTTATGACCGTGGAGTCTGACCCAACTTTCGCGCACCTCGACTAATTCCATGGGATACCTGCCACCTCCCTCTAGCAACAAGTAACTTTGTCCACCAAGACTAGGACAAATGGCAAGAATCACCTAGTGTTTTTTGTCTCCACTTGGAATTGAACATGAGAGCTCATGGTTCTCAACCACTTCATTGACCACTAGGCTACCACTAAGCCACACCCTTGGGGTCTCTTTTCCTTTATTTTTTATTGACTTGTTTCGTTGCTTTACTTGTATATTGCCACTTAACTTGCGCGTCAACTACACAGATTTAAACTTTGCTGATGATTGAGTGATATGTGTCTAATTGACACAGTAAATGCATAGATCAAGTGTTCAACAGGTCATAGCCTCAGCCCTCATAGCCTCATAGCCTCTGTTGAGGTGTCTAAATGAAAAATCTTGACAAGTTTAAGGGGCTGCCTATGTATTCAGCCTTATTTGAACTTGGATTTACTCAGTTGTTGTGAACTTGCGATTATATTTTGGATTGTTATTTCTGAATGCAATCTCCATCTCAGTCACAAGTTTACATTGACCTTCTGCCAATGAGAAAAATGGTTACCTATTTCACCATTAATTGAATTTTGATTGACTTGCCTGTTTTTGAACTTTCTTTAGTACCTTCCAAATATGTTTAAGTTTTTTGCCCCCTC